TTCACTTCTACAACTTTTATTAACACCACCGTTTAAGAGCTACCAATCATTGGTACTCAAACATCAATACACAGTATTGACAGTCATCTTTCAAAAGTCATGACATGAGAGACAGGAGTGGAATGGTGCCGATCAAGTGTAAATAAAAGAGGCCTGTCAAAGAGGTTTGGCCTGCAGCAGTCCAGCCACGAATATTTTGACCCTGTTTGTACCCTAAAGCTTTCCATCTGTAACCTGGGACATTTGTACATCACTCTGATAAATATACAGCTTCCTTACCGATCTTATCCTCTATATTGTCATATACAAGATCCTGGGTCACAAAAGCAGAGTACACTGTATTACAACCACTCAGCTGTTTTGACTTTGCAGCATAGCTCTTTCTACTCTCTAAAATTATCATCAACAATAAATCAATCCATCCATTTAGACTTTTCCTAGGAAATCATAAACTTTTTTCTGCCAAAGCATGCTATCCACAACTAGTCAACTGGCTTGGGACATTTATTGTGCGCTGATCCTTCAGAGTGATTGCTTTACACTTTGGTCAAACCTTTACGAAACCCGAGATATTGCTCCCGGAAGTGCTTTTAGATTTACTGCAAACACAGATGGTTCTGCCTAGGTCATTATTCTCATTCTCATACTAATGAATTCTAAAGTGGAAAAAAGTAACACAATCACAGAAATCTTTGAGAAATATAATATAGGATGAAAAATAAAGTTATTACATTAATACTATGAAGAACATAGAAATTTCTTACTTTTGTTCCTTCTCTATTAAAAAATTAATAAAGGCTTTCTAAAAAAAAGGAAATAAGAAAAACTCTGCACCCGCGACCCGTGTAAAGACAAGTACAACATAATAATTTACAAAACAACATACAAATAACTTACACGATACTTGGTAAATGTAACCTCAACATCTGTCAAGCAAGACATACTATACAATGCAACAGCTTGACCATCCCTGGACAGTGAGCTCGCTTTTCCTCTGGCGAACATCTGAGAATTGACCTGGATCACCAGATAAGCTCTTGTTACAATGTAAGGTCGAGTCAGCTGTGACTTGGTTGATACATGGTGCGGGAGGGGCAGCATCATTCGGTCGGTGGGGCACTTGATGAGCTACACTTGTGGGTGGATTTACTTGTGGGAATACAGTTGGAATTACGTAGTGTTCATCTTCAAGTGTGGTTTTCTGGAGTACGGGATGGGTTGGTTGAGGGAGAGTGGATCGCGGGTGGTCTACATGCTATTTGTGGTCGAAGCGAGTGTCCGGGATGGTGATTGTGTGTGTCTCATTACCTAATATTAATCGAAGTCGCTTCATTGTTGGCCTAGGAGATGCTGTTCCATCTACATCTGTACTTTCTCCCTCAGAAGAGTCAGATCGATGCCGGTGTTCCCGGTGTTTCTTTCGGTGACGTCTGTGGTGGTGATGGTGGTGATCGGTCTGATAGTCCTGATTTGTGATGCCCTCAACCGTCAACACCTCGTACTCTGGCTCATATGCTACTCCTGAATCAGAGAGGTGCGAGCCAACCTCTATCACTTCGTCCAAGACAGGAGATCGCTTCATTCGCAATCTTAGTTTAACCCCACATCTCCCACCTTTCTCTGGGGTGACCATTGCAGCAGGTGGAGATGACGGGGTATATCCAATCAGGGGATGTGGCGGCGACTCACACTGTGGAGACGACCTACATTCACTGGTTATGCTCCTGCCCCACCGACCGCAACCTACGCCTAATTTTCCAACTCTAAGTGATCCAGGAGAAGTTGAATCATCTTCTTCCTCAAACTCATAAACATCTTTAGCTGGAGAGAGGTTAGTTGTTTCTGTTGCTCCTGAACCACCAGACTGACAAACGGTTGTGCTACCCATGTCTTTTAAAGCTGTCTGTTTGCACTTTGAATGCCTGGCCTTTTTGCTAAGAGGCTCTAAGGTTTCTACCTTGCTTTGAACACTACTAGACTGCTGAGGTAACTGAGAAGTTGGCAGTGATTGTTCTGACGTTTTGTCAGTGTTGTTGTTAAGAATGTTACTAGAACAGTTATTACCTAAACTAATGTAACCTAAACTAGAATTATCACATTTTTCACCAGGAGGTCTGCGTAGTCTGCGTAGAGGGGGTCTCCCACTAACAGACATACATTGTGAGTTAGCATTTGCCACACTCCGGTTTGACTTGGAGGTATCGGACAAAATCTCAGCCTGCATGCTGTCAGTTAACTTCACCCGACTGAGATCAACATAACAGTTTGAGCTGGGTGCAGTATCCCTAGAATTCACTTCCCGGGATTTACCTTCCCTTGAGTTCACATCCCCACAATTAACTTCCCTAGAAGCTACCTCTCTGGTAGTTTCTTCAGGTAGTGTTCTCACTGGCATGTCCTTTCCTGACACTCTTGTAGATTCGTCTTCTCTTGGCATATGCACATCTTTTCCTGGCTCTTGATCACTATCCCCTCCTTCCTCTATTTCATCAAAACCATCAGGAGCCTTGACATCTTGGCTGTCTGAACGATTGTGTTGCCCTCTGAGGATACGGGTATTGCCAACCTCTTGCATGGCAGTGGTTAGTTGGCGTCGGCTGCGTAGTTTAATACCTTTAGAATTACACAGCTTTCCATTTTCCAGAGGCTCTTTAACACTCATATCTCCATGGACTTTACCTTCCTTTATTGTAGGTTCTGTGGCAACTACACGACTCCTCGTGTGGGGTCGTCCTTTAGATGACACACTCTTTAGATATTTATCAGGGCTGATTGATTTACTGGAGTCGCTACATGGCTTATTGGTAATATCAATATTTTCCTGAGCACTGTCTGAACTTGATCTCCTGTTCTTTGCTTTGGGATATAAACCATTCAGGTGGAGGTGAGACTGAGAGCTCGTGCGCTTTATCTGAGTTGAACCACTTTCTGTACTCGACTCTGACTTATCCGAGTCTCTTGATCCCCCTCTAGTCCTAAGCTCTCGTCTCACTGTCTCACCATTCACTTTTGGAGTGAGATTGTTCATTTTCAGCTTGTGCTCACTAGACGCTCTGAGGCTCACAGCGCCTTCACTCTTGCCTTTGTTCATTGCCTCCTCCTCATTCTTCTGCTGGTTCCGTAATCTTTGGCGACTAATCCTTAATCTCAGGTCTGTTTCACGGAGACGATAACCCTGCTCTGCACCGTTTTCGTTTTTCTTATCAGCATAGGCTCCAGTGCCTCGCCTGAAATGAAAAAAGAAAACACATAGTTTATATACTGTCTTGAGAATTCATTCACTGTAATAACAAAGGGAAGCATCAATTCAACCTTACGGGAAAATACATCGGCTTTGAATTCCAACTAGAAGACAGAAAGAAAGAAAGAGAGAAAGAAAATAAGAAAAAAAAGAAAAAAAAAAAAAAATTATTTATGTAAATACCTAATTGAAAGCTGTCTTTTCCACCTTAAGAGAGGAGAGAGTGGCGAGAGGAAGGAGGGAGGGAGGGAGGGAAGGGAGAGGGAGAGGGAGAGGAGAGAGAGAGAGAGAGAGAAGAGAGGAGAGAGAGAGGAGAGAGAGAGAGAGAGAGAGGAGAGAGAGAGAGAGAGAGAGAGAGAGAGAGAGGAAGAGAGGAGAGAGAAAAGAGAGAGAGGAAAAGAGAGTGAGAGAGGGAGAGAGGAAAAGAGAGAGAGGAAAAGAGAG